CAATAGTATAATTAAAAAGTAAGATAAGATCGGATATTTGACCATATGCGAATTTCACATAAAGTAATTCATTCATGTGGGACTGTAAATAAATTATTATTAATATTTTTTTATGTAAAAATTTGTTCATTCACTAACATATTTATAGTTAACTATTATAAATTAATATTTTTTTAATTTTTTATTACATAAATCTTAATGATTACATTTATTTATCTTACATTTACTTAAAATATAAAATTTGTTGCATATGATAATAGACCGACCCAACCGGTTCAAGTGTTTTTTTTATTTTTTATAAAAAAAATAAAAGGTTGGGTGAATTTTAACAGTTGATGTTGCAACGAATTTCGCAGTGACTGAAATTTAATTATAGTCAAACTTGACCCGCCGTTTCCATGTCGCATTGAAAAATTCAAAATTTGAAGGGTCGATTGATGAGTCGAACCGATTTTGGATTGGACCCTAATCCACGGGGTCAAAATGCTTTGAAGGCTTGAAGTTGGACCGGTCCGTTTAATACATGAACCTTGTCCAATGTTGGTCTAAAATTATGGTCAACAGCCGACCTCGCGTAATAGCAACTTCTAACTATGAAGTAAAGGGCAACCGACGCGGATAACAAAATCTTGAAGCGTAATACGACAGACAAAAAATGTCTAATTTTTATATTCAAAATAAAAATGTCAATACTTAAAAAATAAAATAAATAAAAGATTTTTAAACTATTACATATTTTTATTCAATAATTTTTAAACCGGGAATCCAATGGTTATGTTAAACAAAATAAAGGGAAACACTATGATCTCGTTACGCAATTATTCCGTCGAGAATTTTAATCGTTCGATCATCATGTAGTTAGCGGTTAAAACTCTGACAAAATAATTCGGGCCGTAACATTCTCTCAAAATGAACATCAACATCTCATAAATTCAGCTCGGTGTCATATAAAGACTTAAAAATAATTTTAATAACAAAATTCGTTGAGATTCGAGTTCATCTCATATAATTGCCCCCTATACTTTACGGGCCAAAATTACTTAAATCTAATCCCTGTTCTTTTTTTTTTTTGTAGCCAGCCACAGTATCCAGATTTGTGTCTCGATTAATATGTTGGTCGACCCGAATAGCACATCTGACAATAGTGAATGAGTCTCTCAAAAAAATTTTTTTGCATCCACCAGGACCCGAAACCTTACTTAAAGCCTTAATCCCTGTTCTCTTTATAAACAAGGCCCGCAGGCAAGTATTCTCTTTCAGTGATGATGTCATCTCTCCCCCAGCCGTCCATTTCCATGAACTGTGCTGCCCCTTTCTGTAAGCTTATCTCTCTTATTTCCATCGTATTATTATCGTCATTAGCAGTCGAATGAAACCCAGTGAAGTTACTTCAAATAATTCCCAAAAACAGGGTTTGGTTTTTGAGCTGAAATTTGAACTGAAAATCGTGGTCGAGTAGTCTTGAGTAAGTCGTCCATGGAATCGAATCTGTGCTCACTTTAACTGAATGTATGTTGTGCTATTCATTTCCCATTAGCCATGACTAAAATCTTGCTCCTTGTGTTGTTTTGTTCTGCGCAATCTTCAAAATTTTTACCCTAATTTTAGCTTGGGTTCCTCCCCCTTTCGTGATTGTTAATTTATTCATACGTTCTGGGAAAAAAAAAAATTGTTTTGGTGAGCAAGATTTCGGCAAAATTACAATTTTCGTCATGTTAGTTTGATTCATCCAGCGGCGTTTTTAGTCCTAAGAATTATACATTTTTGCAATTTGGTCCTGTGATTTTAAAATTCAATGCAATTTCAATCATTTGGGACTGAAAATGCAACAAAATTTAAAATTACAGGACTTAAATTGTTAATAAAAAATCTTTTGGATGAATTTTTTTGTTAGCAATTTAAGTCTTATAATTTTAAATTTTGTTAGCAAAATACTAAATTACATAATCAAAAGATAAAAAGTTAAATTTTTGGGAGAAAAAATGCTACAGTGTTAATCCAGAAGGACTCAAAATGCAATTTTGCCGCAAGATTCAAAGGGAATGAAGATACGTTGAGTGTTTTTTTTTTTTTGAGTAGTATAGTTTAGATTTGACCAAGAAAAGATAAAGGAGGCCTTCAATTTCTAGTTGCTAAAGAGAGATTCGTTTTTGGTTAGTTAGAACAGAAGACCAGCCAATTAAGTAGTTCCAATCTTGTATTTTAATGGTTGCTTGATAAATTACTTCAACTTGCCCAACTTGCATTTTCAGGCTACCTGTTTGTATGGTATTATTAACAAATAGTATATAAGCACAATTTATGTTGTCTGGTTGACTTGACTTTTTTTTTTTTTTTTTTTCTCTCAAGTTATGTGAAAATATAATCAATTCCAAGTTGCTTGATTTGCATGGATTCTGCATGTAGCTTAAGAATCCGACCACGTTTTACTAAATTATCGTTCTTTTTGCTTTGTTTAGGCGCTACGAGGATTCGATTCGTAAGTTTGATTGAATTTTTAGTGACATGTTGTCTACAGCTGTGACACCGAGATTATCTTATGCCTGAAGCCGATCAAACTATTGAAACAGAAGAAAAGATGTCTGCTATAGGGTATGGAAAACCTCCATGGGTGTTCAAAGGCAGGCAAGTGCTAATCCATTTCTTTAAATACAAAAAAATAATAATAAATCATTCATTTATAATTCAGAATGTATCGAATAATATTCGAAGGAGTTGTGTACTTATGTTTTCTCTTGATATTTCAGTGCCTTGTATCAGCTTCATCTTGTGAAAGCAGAGACTGCTCGAGCTTTGATTCCCAAAGAATTCAAGTTAGTGGAGGCATTTGGGTACTGATCAGTTTTGTTGAAGAGTACACCTTTAAATATTTAGAAAATGTTGGTGCATGTAGAGAGATTTGTTTGGATTTTATTCTCTTTTTTCGGTTAAAATTGGTGAATTTACTCTGCAGATACACCCTCGGCGGATTTTTTCTTGCGAATTATGAAGACAGTCCTGCTGGAAATTTTGACGAGGTTTTGTCTTCATTTGCATTTCTACTTAATTATTTCCGAAAAAAAAAAGTGCTTAAGACCACTTCGATACCTGGGGATGTTCGATATTCGATCTTGAGCAGAAACAAATATTAAACTTTGTGCTTAGTTTAATGTCAACTAGCTTAACTTTTATTTGGCCTTAATACTTTACAGCTTGTGGTCTTAGCAGGACTTGTTTGGAATCCTCCTACATCCTGTGCGTAAGTTTTTCGGCCAATCTTTTTAGACTCGTGCAATGGGTATCTATGTTTTATTTACCAATTGGTGATTTTGGTACCATGTAGTATGGACAATGCTATGATCCAAATCCATGGGCAGTTTTTATGATCTGAGTTAGATATAGGTCTATTTAGTCTCTGTAGTCTTTTAACTTAGTTTATTTTTTCTTCTCTTTTTAATTTTTATTGGTCAATTCTTCAGTCGATAAATTTGTTTCAAAAAATTTCCACCATGATTGCTGCCATGCAAAGTCGGGATTTTTATCTTACGATACAATATTGATTAATATGCGATCATGAAAGCTTCTTGGTTTAGAAAGATGCTCTTACTACAACTTTTTATCTAATGCTGGCACTAGTGAACTGTCATGATAGTAGGTCAAAAGATTTATATGTCAATTGTTTTTGTCAATAGATGGGCTGCACGAGTGCTTGTGAGCAGCGATCAAGCATGTGACCATGGACGAAAGGTCCGTTTTTTATTATTTACTTGAAACTCCACTGTGCCATTATCTATAACACGAGTCTTCAACTAAAGATCCTGTCTTTTAGTATTTAGTCTAATTATAACAGCTCGAACATCTATAAACGCAAGTTCATTTGGATCTAGAGATAACCCAACAAAAATTTTGCTCGTAACATTCTCACATGGGGTAATGAAAACGACAATTCATTTTTTCCCGGATATGCTGCGTTTTGCAGGATGTTGGACTTCCTAGTCAAGTTGCCACTTTTACAAAGGTGAGCTTTCGAATTTTTAAGAGTACCATTGATTTTTCTTGAGGATGATGATGTTATGTGTCAACCCAGAAAGTTACAGCACTTCCTGTGACAAGGAAAGGTCCGTTTCGTAGCTTGTTGAGCAAGATTGGTATGGATGATTCTTGTAAGAACGGGAAGACTTGCATGAGTATACATGTCAAAGAGATGATCAACAACCACAAAGCAATGAGCCTATGCAGTATCAATCTTACTGCTAATGGTTGGTGGGCTAAAAAAAAATACTACACACACACACAGACGCACACAAATAAGGGTCTAGATGTTTGAATTACTGAAAATATTTTCATTTCTAAGTTGTTGACTGTTAATTCGGATGCACGTAAAGCAAAATTCCCCCGGAATCTTGATCTTACCTACCCGCCATTTTTCTTGATTTCGCGTTTTGTATTTGTAGCTTCATTGTTTTTGTGAATTGCACTGTGTCTTTCGTGAATTATTTTTTTTATGCCCTCTTAGATTTTTTTTTTTTTTTTTTTTTTTTTTTTTTTTTTTTTTTTTT